CCCCTCATAGGACTTCTAGTACTCTAAGCAACTCTTTCCTAATTACTCCCTACATCTTAAATCGTTTGCACTAGAAATGGTTGAAACAGAAGTGTGTCCAGAGCACTGCAAATAAGATATATTAGACAAACTTGGTCATTGCTTGACAGTTGGAAACATTGCCTCTGGGAAAATTCGTGGTTTTGTTGATTAGATGCTAAAAAAGAATATTGCTTTACCGGCTACCAAGATCACGCATATGTGACATTGAATTGACTACCTCCGCCTAGTGCCATTTATGTGTAAGGCTGTGTTATGCACTAGACCGTGTTGAGCAGGGAGAACATTCAATGGTAATCATTTTAGCAACAACTTGTTTGTTTATGATGACTCCTGAGAAGATAAATGATATTTCCTTTTGCCACTGAGGTGATCCCACGCTTTCATAAGTGCATTAGCAGAATATATTCCTGAAGCCACCCATACCAAGTGCGAGTCCACACTACTTTAGTGGAATTTGTTGCCATTTGAACCTATACGCAGTTGGTAAGTAAATTGTAGGTGAAGGCAAAGACTTAACTACATTGTCTTGCAGCATTTCACAGCTCTTTCCACGCTCTGGTAAAAAGACGGGGAAGAGGTGGTGCCTCTCTGCCACTCCCACCACTATTGCACAACATATTCATACTAAATTAAAGGCAACTTATGGGCTCAAGCTTTGGCTAGCTGACCACCTGCCCCAGATGTGATTCTAATGAATGCTGAAACCTGGCTTAAGGGCTTCACAGGGAGCAGTCAAGAGACTAAAAGCTTCCACAATGGATGTTTGAAGAACCGGGAAAGAAGACAAGGTAATTTCTAACCAGCAGGAAACGTGGATGTGGACCTGAGGTGACAAAGGTTGAAATCAAAACAGCTTCTACACAAGTCACCTCACCTTATGGATAAAATATCAAATGTGGTCCTTATTACCGCTCTTGATTTCGGCATCACAATGTTGTCAAGTGACAGCACGAGTCAGCCGCAAATGTCTTCTTCCCAAATAAAAAGGACTTGTTACGAATGTTTTGGCGGAACCGGAAAAGCTGTTAAAGCCATTTTAGACGTCGTTTTGTAAAAAATGCCATCTCGTGCAATCCTCTTGCTCCCTCACTTTCCTTTATCCTCCTTCATCCTTGAGTACTCCCCTTCACTAAGGGTTTGTACTATCAGAAACGAGGAGAAAATTCCCCATAATAAAGGGCATTTTGCGTCTAATTAAATTAAA